GCTGCGGGCGCCTCGGGGCCAGGCGGGGCCGAGCTGGGGGCGGGCTCAGCGGGGGCGAACAGCCTATAGAGCGTCGAGTTGTGAGGTTGGCAGACACCGGGTTCGGCCAATGAGGGGTGCTGCTTTCTGTGCCTCACACGGCGCTGCCCTGCCATCTCTCCCGCCATGTTCCTCACGGGCGGTGGGGGTGGCAGGGAATGGCTGAGGGGCAGCTTTGGTGGCTCCTTTCTCTGGTAAATCCCACTCCCAGCCTCGTCCTGGGGACGTGAGGGAGAAGCACTGCTTCCCCCTGCTGCAGTGCAGGGGATGGCATCTCACAGGGAGCCCGGTGTCTCCACAGGGAGCCCGGCCCCTCAGCTGGGCAGCAGGGGGGCCTGCGCAGGCTGCTTGCCCTCTGTGTGCAGTTCACAGCTGCCCAGGAACAAAACCAGCCGCAGCAAACACCACGGCTGTGTGATTCCGCTGCACCCTGTTTCCTGCCCGAGGAATGGGAGAGCAGTGGGTACTCGGCAGATTGTGGCCTGCCGCGAGGTGAGGAAACTGCTGTACAGGGTCACAGGGGAACAGATTCCCCTCACTCTAACCTCTACTTCCCTCCTTCCCTCAACTGCATCTTTAGTTACTTACAGCAGAAAGTAACTTAGTTCTCAAGCAAAAGTTGGAAGAAGGTCACTGATAACGAGCAGACAAATCCCACATCATTTCTCCACAGTCAACACCTTAAGCTTTTCAAGGGAAGGAATCTCTTTTTTTTTTTTTTTTTTTTTTTCTCTTGGTCAGGAGTAGCTGTGATAATGTCACCTTCCCTTTTCTGTTCTTTGCCTGCATCTTCCAAAGAGGCCTTTGCCATAATTTCACATCCCACAATTTAGGGCCTTGGCACGTGGAGCAAGTGGGTCTGCAGCAGCCGTTAGAGCAATGCAGGAAAAAGAATAAATCAATGCTTGGAGATGGGTTGTGGGTTTGTTTTTTTTTTTTTACATTTTGGCAACTTTTCTGTAGTACAATGTGTATGTTCCTTTCTGTAGAAGAACACTAAAGCATTACTAAGTACTTGATGAAGCTTGTTATTCATTGATTCAGGGTTCAGTAATAAATCACTCCTTGCAGCACTCTCTGCTATTCCACTTTAGTCATAATTGAATTTTTTAGATTTGTTATTGATAATCCAAGAATACCTCCGTGCTGCATCAGTAATGAGATGAGATGCGAAGAGCTGTCTTCAGTTCTTCAGGGTAGCAGTACGCATCCTGATAATTTAGGACGTGTTGAAGAATAAGTACATAAACAAATATGTTGCATTACCATGTGGAGCGGAGGTTGGGTGACTACTGGCTTTGATCTACATCCTGGGGAAAGTGGCTAGAAGCATGATCCCACCTTTTATTCATGCTGAATAAGTGGATAAGTAAATGTTCCTTTCTTCGGTGCGTCCAAAGAGATGCCTGCGCAGAGGATGATTTTGATTTAATCCATGTGCAGGTTAACAGAAGAGAAAAACCATGATGGCATATGGGCAGCAGCAGAAGTGATTGCAACCCAGCCCCTAGACAACGCCGCAGGAAAGCTTTTCTGGGCCCAAGTCCCACCTGGAAGGGCACATGTGGAACTGTGAGACAAGAAAAATGACTTTGCCATGTAATGCTACTAGGCTGAAGGAGAAAGGAGCTGGTAAGTATTCACTGTAAATAAAGAGTAGTTTCAAAGGCACACCAAGCTCCCTATGGAAACAGCTTGAAAGACACTGAAAAGTATGACTTCATACCTCCTTTGCTTGGTTCCAGCAATTATTTAAGGGTAATGGCTGCTGTAAATTACATTTTTTTCCCATTATTATTACACTGACATTGTCTTGCTTCTTTGTAAACTTTTGAGGCATTTGAGAACAAGAAAGCCTTTGACTGTATCTTTTATGTGCTCTTCCTTCAGCCTATTCACCTCAGCACCTCAGCCCTCCCAAGCTGTATGGAGAAATGTCTGCCTCGTTTTTCAAGGTTCACAGCAGAATAAAGAGATTTAATAACCAAACAAACATGAGATGGCTCTGAGTGACCTTAAGAAATGAACACAGCTCCTAATGCCACCCCTTGTCCCTTCCTCTGTGCCTGCTCTGTTATTGTGAGGTGAGATTTGAAAAAAAAATGTTGCTTTGTGACTTGCATTCAGAAATGGGCAGAGAGTGGAAGGACAGCACTGATTTAATCCCTTAGTCACCACAGCTCAATCCCCTTCTTACCCTCCTGCTTCCTTAGAGGTATGATACTCCTGCACGGGAGCAACACCGGATCCTTTTATGTTCATGCGGCTGCAGAGCCCCGTGATTCTGATCTTGACCAACTTGAGGTGTCTCCAAGACCATCCTGGTGCTTCCCCTCTCTGCTTAATCCTGAATCTAAAGAGGGATCCTTGGGCTTCCAGGCATGGCTCTTTCCCCTTGCAGGTGGCAAGAGTTAAATTGTGGCAAACACATCTTAAATAAGTTTTACTACAGGTCCTTAATGTTCTCTCTTATCGCAGAGTTTGCCCATGCCTCCTTGCATACAGAAGTGAGAAAAATACATGGTCTGGCCTGCTGGAGGTGCTGTGCTGGAGTTCAAATTCAGTGATGGTGTTTGCAGGAAGGAAGAGGTATGTCTGCTGAGATCTGTGCTAAGAGCACTGTATCCTGCCTTTACAACCAAGGTTGGCCTCCAGCTGCAGCACCACTCAAGGGAAAAAGTAGGATCCCTGGTGAAAACTCTCCTGAGCCTCAAGGACCACTGACAAACTGCCCACAGCCTTCCTGTTCGCAAACCCCAGTAACTGTCCACATAGAATCACAGACTGGTTTGGGTTGGAAGGGACCTTTAAAGGTCACCTTGTTCCCACAACCCTGCCCCGGGCAGGGCCACCTTCCACTAGCCCAGGTTGCCCAAAGCCCCGTCCAACCTGGCCTTGAACCCTTCCAGGGAGGGGGCAGCTACAGCTTCTCTGGGCAGCCTGTGCCAGGGCCTCACCCCCCTCACAGGGAGGAATTTCTTCCTTACATCTCATCTAAATCTCCCCTCTTCCAGTTCAAAACTGTCACCCCTCGTCCTATCCCTACATGCCTTGGTAAAAAGAGTCCCTCCCCCCTTTCAGCCCTGGGGGGCCACTCTAATGTCTCCCCGGAGCCTTCTCTTCTCCAGCTGAACCCCCCAACTCTCCCAGCCTGTCCTCACAGGGGGTGCTCCAGCCCCCCCAGCATCTCCGTGGCCTCTTCTGGACCTGCTCGAGCAGATCCGTGTCCTTCTGCTGTTAGTGCCCCAGAGCCGGACCCAGCCCTGCAGGGGTTCTCCCAGAGCAGAGCAGAGGGGGAGAATCCCCCCCTGGCCCTGTGCCCACCCTGCTCTGGGTGCAGCCCAGCACACCGTTGCCTTTCTGGGCTGCCAGCGCACGGTGCTGGCTCACAGGCAGTTTCCACCCTCCAACCCCCCAAGTCCTTCTCCTGGGGGCTGCTCTCCAGCCCCTCCTCGCCCAGCCTGGGTCTGTGCTGGGGATTGCCCCGACCCACGGGCAGGACCGTGCCCTTGGCCTTGTTGAACTCCACGAGGTTTGCAGGTCCCCCCTCTCCAGCCCGTCCAGGTCCCTCGGGATGGCGCATCCCTGCCCTCTGCGTGTCCCCGCACACACAGCTTGGTGTTGGCAGGGAACTTGCTGAGGTGCCTCCATCCCACTGTCCATGTCATTGATGATGATATTAAACAGTACTTTTAAATTAGATCTAAGGAAGAAATTCCTCCCTGTGAGGGGGGTGAGGCCCTGGCACAGGCTGCCCAGAGAAGCTGTGGCTGCCCCCTCCCTGGAAGGGTTCAAGGCCAGGTTGGACAGGGCTTTGGGCAACCTGGGCTGGTGGAAGGTGGCCCTGACTGGGTCAGGGAGGTGGGCCTAGATGATCTTTAAGGTCCCTTCCAACCCATGCCATTTTATGATTCTGTGATTTTTTCACTGGTTAGTGATTTTTTTCATGTTCTTTTTCAGCACTGCCACACAGTGGCAGAGTTGAGGCTGCTTCTAAATGGGGAAGAGACTGAAGGTTTAGAAGAAATTCCTCTTTGGTTAGAAACTGCCTGGCTGCCTGTAATCTTTCAAGGTGTTAACGGCAGAGGGCTTTTTCTTTGTCGAATTTTACTCATGTTTTTAGGTTGTTTTTCTAAGGAGCTGAGGTAAAGGGGATTTTGTGGTCAGTCTACAGTCCTTCCCCCCAACACAAAACCACAATAGTGGCCATCATTTTGACCAAGGTTGGGGTTACAAAAATATCAACTCTTTATAAGTTTCATGAAAAGAGTTGTCCAGTTAGAGAGTGAGTACTGCTGACGCACAGAAAGATGCTGAAGCACAAGCCCAGATTATTGTTTAACAGAGGAAAAAGTAATTATGAGTATCTTAACCGCAGGCGAAGCGTCAGTCGGCAAGAACACTTGTCAGACAAGGGGTTGTTCAGCCATGAGGCACTGAGCCCAGCAAACAAGGCCAATACATCCTCCTGCCCACGGAGGTGTTTGGTTTTGCTAGAGGATGAAAGATGATAAAGTAAAAAATGCCTGGGTAATCAAGAAATCATCCTTTTCTTGATGACATCAGTGCTTCAGAAAATGAGATCTCACAGGTAGGAGTGGGAGTAGAATGACTCTGCTTCCTCTTGGTTTTCTTTTGAGCTGAAAACGAGAAAAAAAAAAAAAGAGCAAAATGTTTGAATATCTCAACATTTTCCACAAAGTTAAAGCCACAGAGATGAACAAATTTTCCAAATTCAAGGAGTTCTGTAAGCAGTCAAAAACATTTTTAAAAATTCCACACAATTCACCTTTTTTTTTTTTTTTCCAGTATGTTAATTCATCTATATCTTAAATGTGAATAAATTCAACCAGCTCTATTTCTGTGGGTTTTTTTGTTGTTGGGGTTTTTTTTTTAAGTACCCTTACAT